TGTTCCCCAAATCAATTTTCCGGCTCATACAATTTTCCTCTCGGTACTATTTCTCTTCTCTTCTCTCTCTCCTTTATGGGTATGCTGCCCTTGGTGTCCCATACAGTAGGCTGTGTCATTAAATTTGACTTGAGAATTTGGCGAATTTGTGAGAATCTTATTATTATTTATCATTATTAATATATATATATGTATATATGTATGTATATATATATAATAATATATTAATATATATATTAATATATATATATTATATTTTTTCTTTTTGACAGGATTAAAAATCCTAGACCATATAAATCCTGAATGCTGATCAAATCTGATTTACAATCATGATCTACTGGAATGCAGGAATAAACTAGGGTTCCAAAACGACTTATATAAGATTTATTTTTAATCAAGAATATTATTAAGTAATGTTTCTACAGTATACAGATTGACTTTCCATAGAGGATTTTATAAACCTCTAACTATGTAATATTCTAATTTAAAGTCTTTTTTGTTACCATATGTGACGTTCATCCTATAGGAGAATCCCCAATTACCCCAATACCAATAGCCCATAAAGCCCTGGTGTTGTAAAAGTACCCTGAAATATACCCAATTATAAATACATGTAATTTGTTTATTATATATACACACTAAAACTATAATATAAATAAGTAAGAAGTAAATATGGAACTATGTATATTTATTACAAATAATCAATATTACGTCCCAAGACTAAATATGAGTGATAATAAATTGATGATTATGATGTGTGTTGTGTATCACCAAGGCTTAGAGTATAAAAACATGAAACAAAATTTATTATTTTACCTTAAAATGCCGGCATTTTCAAACCCGGAGTGCCTATCAAAAGAGTTCACATTTAATTCAGACACTATACATTGTAGGAACACCTTCCAATCAGTGTCTGTGAATACGGCCATAGCTTTTGTACCCCAAATGGTCAGGTGACTAAATCATTATGCACCAGAATACAAAAGAGAATATGTAAAATTTTTTGTGTCTCTAGTGATTGCTTGCTTGCGAGTTGCGTGCGCTTGTCCTCTTCGTCTTCGCTCTCTCTCTCATTGTTTGTTTTATCTCGTTCGCTCTGTGTGTCGTATGTGTGTCTGGGGCGTGATGTGTGTGTTACACCACGACATTGCCAATTCTCATTGTGTTGGCTATAACGCATGTTCTTCATACACCCCTACCCTTGTGCTTTTGTTACACTGTAAGGGTTTGTTATGTGTTACTTAGTGTCGCGGTCTGTGTTGTTGTCTACATCCTGCCTCCTGGTGCCCTACTCTCATAATCTCTCTCTGCTTGCTCTCTACTCTCATCTTCTCATCCTTCTCTACTTCTGATTACCTCTCTCGTTCTCATCTCTTCCGTCTCTATACTTCATCATCACTTCTTCATCATTCCTCTGTATTCGGTATTACAATTACTCATACTCTCTAAAGCAAATATTCTATTCTCACTTCTCTCATTTCTCCAATACTGGTCTCCCATCCACCTTTCTCTCTATCACTTTCCACTTTCTTCTAAAACTGCCCCATTACTCATTCATCTCCTCAACTTTCCGGACCAACTTCCCTCTGCATACCGCTCTACTCGTTTTTTCCTCTCAGTGGTCGAATATACGGACACATACAGATTGCGAAAAGTCGGAAAAAAGTACGCTACCGCAAAGTAACACCATCAGGGAACTCCAAACAAGAGGAAATTACAGAGCTACGCGAACAATTTATGAATTAGAGCTATCGTTTGACAGCCAATATAATTATATTATATGATATATTACCCAGGATTACACTTATTTTATCCTGAACAATCCCCAATTTCCTGCATAACCTGTTTTCTTGCCTCTACTGGCCACCAACTAAGGTCCTAAATATGATTATGGAATCTATGCGAGGTGATATTATCAATGTGTTTGTCGACGACATACTGAATAATTGCCTGACTGCCTGTATCTATAATACCCAGGACATATTTCTTTACAGACGTTGCGAGAGGGTACAGGGTTAATTAGAATACCAAATTACAAATTACTCATTTTCGTTTCTGAACATTTTTTAGTTGCATTTCGGTTATGTCCTTCGTTAGCTTGTGGTTAGCAGTTGTCTCCGTTCTTTTCTTTTGTTATTTAATTGATTATCCGTTATAACCACTTTCTATACAATAGCACTGACGTCATTGAAACATTTTTTGATACAACATTGATGACACAAACTCTGAACAAATGGACTCGCTTGGTAGTTCAGCCATTCCATGTAGTTATCTCAACAAGTAAAGCAAAATCAGTAAGATACTGTTACGATACTTTAACCAGATAATATTTTTTCCAGTTGATCATTCCCAATTTCACCATCCGAATATAGACCTCATATAGGCGGTGAAAGCACACAGGGGCCTATGGACTATTAAATGTTACCCCTTAAACATTTACTTCGTTTTCTATAAGGACTTTTTTGTTTCAGAAGAAAACAAAAAACAAATAACTTTTAAAAGGGCGAAACTAATTTAAGTTTAGAGGAAGGGGAATGCCAACACGTTTGATATGATTGAAGAAATTGATAATAATCTTTCCGTAGTGAAAACACGATTGCTTATTGTTTATGTGCAGCAGTGTTAATAAATCAAAGGTGAAATTTTTGAAAAGCACCACGGAAAAATGGAGATAGAAGAGGGAGAGAGAGACTGAAAAAAGGAGGAGAGAAATATTGTAGATCAATCGAAGGAATATGAAAAACCTTATGTGAACTCACATTAGTTTTGAAATCAACACACGATAGAGAAAAGAAGAATTGGCCGAATAGAAGGGAGCGATGCCGCAGATAGGGACCAAAAGTGATATTATGGCAGAATGAGATGCAGCAATTTAGTAAACAATTGACTGAAATCCCCAGTTGCAGTGACTAACCTCCCACCCCCACCTTCTCACCACTCGCCCCTCTAACAGACCCACACTGGATCAGACATAAAGGCAAGGTGACGAGAGAATAGATCGTAATACCGAACAGATGAGATAAAAATTTCTTCCAGCCCAAACAATCAGTCTATATACTTAGTGTGTTTTACCAGTGGCACACAGGTAAACAACTTTACGTACGAACTACACTTATTCTAAATACTGAAAATTTGACGGGTCAATCTATCGAAGAGCGTACAGCAAAGAAAAATATCGGTGTAAACAAGGGTTCTAACACCTAAGGAAAGATAAAACCTTGCGACTCTTGTTGGGTAGAAACCTATAATGAATCTTAATATTCTGTATTGTTTTGTGTGGCGTTATTCGCTGTATTGCTGTCTACTACGTCTATAAAATCCTTGTAAAAAGATCAGGAGACTGTGCAAGATTAAGGCAATGATAAAGTAAACTGTCCAGTAATAGGAGGGAAAAATATGAATCCGCGGTGCGCGAGACATAATCAGCAACCGGGAAGACCAAGAAGTATGCAAGAGAAAACAAAGGTATGTCGGGAAAGAGATGATAGGGATATTGAGAAAAATTAGACGGGTGGAAATTTAAAGGGGAAGGAAAGATAGAAATGAAATGAGAAAAAGTCAGAAAAGGTGAGATAAAATCATAATATTAGATCCAGAGACGCCCAGAGAAACCGGAGAATGTGGGACGAGGAGAGGGTTTGAGCTGAAAGTAAGAGCAGGAAAATTTAGATCACTATCAAAATATTTACATGAAGTATCAAGTTGACATTATTTGTTCATCTTCTGATACTATTATATCGACCCTACTATGCCCAATAAAAGAATATTTATTACACCGAAGAACCTTGTTTTCACTACCCTCGAGTAAATAACAATACAATATCAAGTCGATTTAAAAGGCATAAACGTATCTCAAAATAAGAAATTTATTAAACCCACCTCTTCCAAACTCCCAAATATTCGTTTTAATTCTTGAAAAGTCCTAAGTCATTATAAAAAAAACGCGAGACAAGTATATGGAAACTCAGTTATATTAATAGAAAATAAAATAAAGCAAATGATCAAAAGAAGAATTAAACAACACAAGACTAAGTAATAAAGAAAACTTTAGCAATTTAACAATAAGAAATTAAACACGTCAATTGCCCCAAACCATGAATACATATTTAAGTTTAATAAATTTATAGTGTGATATTGACTCAAGTAACAAGGAATTGTCTGTTTTAACGCTACACTCCAAAATAACAGAAAGACTATTATTTCCTGCACTATCCTTCCTGACAGCCCTCACCTTAACCACATAGTATTCCATCAAACCAACATGTTAGGCCTATATTTAAATACAATATACCACGTTGCTCTGTAAACTAACGCCGTTAGACAGCCCACTTGCACCCTAATACAGCATATCCATTTATCGAAGCACAACCACCATACAATAGTCACAGTTTGTCTCATCTACAACTAATCTCCATCCCGTGATTGCTTTATATCGCTACCTCCTTGTATTCACCTCTCTTTGTCTACATTCCCTGCCTATCATTGTACGGCGTACACTTAAACCCTTAATTTGGTCTTCGCATACGATAAAATTTCACAAATGAACCCTTAATTTGGTTTGATACATAAATTCCACAGATTGGTTTTCAATATAAGTTGAAGATGATTCAGTCCTGTCTTCCGATTTCCAACCTAATTTCGATTAAAGTATATCAATCACATTACAAAACACCACAACGACCGCACAGGCAACTACCCTCTACCCTTGTTCTTAGTCCTATTATATTTGCCCGTGATTCCGGAAAACCTTTCACACTTTTATCTACTTACTCATACACAGTCTTTTCCAGACCATTCTATATGTGTCTGCACTTAAAAGATCTTTCCTCCAAAGACATATGAAAGCCTAGTGAAAGTAATTCTTATCAATATCTAGTACGAGAGGTTCAAATTGATTGTATTATATATATTATTTTTAGATTTATGCTTCCTCAATAAGGTGAATCAAATATACTAAAAATTTAATGGGATATTTATATATGTAGAGAAAGAGATAAAGAACATAATTCTGAATTGTGATCCCGTAAAAATAGCTGTTACACTCTGTCATCACATGACTGACAAATTATTTGTAAATTACAATTGACTTTCGTCCTCAAATCTAATGAAATCTTACGTGTGGATAAATGAACCCTTTATGGCTGCTTAGAATCATGAACCAAACACCTTTTGCAAATAGTAGTTTTCTCAAGGCTTTTTAACACTGATTTTGCAAGTGGATAGCATAATCACCGCTGTCTGTCTCTCAGAGATCCTTTGTTATTGTACTACACTCATCTTGCACCACCAACACAAAAATGAAAAACATCAAACATCGGTGTGTATGAATGTGTTATTTTCACTTTTTTATTACAATGACACACTATATCACAAAAATGCTCTATAGGCAATTATTAGACATACATGAAAGTATGCACCAGCTCTACTGGACGATAAAAAAGGAATCATTATTTGATCTTTAACGCTTAGATTCGGGAAACATCTTATAACTGAAATAGAATATACATTTATTTCACCTTATTTCCATTTCCTATAAAAGGTTTACGAAGAAGATACCTATTACATTAAATTACTGATTACAATTACAGATTATTTCTGAAAATTAAGAAGTACTTCATACTTTCCAAACCAGCGTATTCAGCTGGATACTTTGAGTGAAATAGCTTCCAATCACTGCTCAGCTTATTATATTCTATTGTCTGGATATCATTCAGTACATTTAAAACTGCATAAGGTCACGTGTCAGCTCACACGAACACTCACATACTTTTTAGTTTAATAAATGTGTACGTGAATGCTTTTTTTTTTTTTTTTTTCTTAAAACAAAAGAAGGGTGCTATTCATCACTGTTGTTTTGTTCTTTGAGTCGATGTCTGTCTGTCGCGCAAGCCACTATCCATCGCACTAAGCAGCGCCTCCCGCCTGTTCACACGTTGAAGCCACGGCCGTTGAGATCGGGCGTGGGTGGGGTGAACGGCCTGCCTTGACCTTCCTTGCCCTTGCTCCTTGACCTGCGACGGACGACGGGCGGGGCCGCGAGGGCCTCCCCCGCCGTGAGCGGCTCTGACCCCCGAGGGAGGCACAGTCCCGGGTGCAGCCTGCCCCTGTGGCGCGGGCGGGGCGGCCACACGCCGAGCTCGCTCGGGGCCACGGCGCTGACCACGACCCACGGCACGGGGAAGGACGCGGCCGCCTGCTGCTCCAGGAGGCTGACCATCTCCCTCGGGCTGATGGCGGGCGTCGGGGGCGGCGCGGAGGCTGAAGGACCGGGGGGGAGGCAGGGGGGGTGTCCTGCGGCAGCTGGGCTGAGCGGAGGCGAAGGAGGAGTCAGGATCTCCCGCTGACTGGCGGAGGAGGAGGAGGTCGGCGAGCCAACTGGCAGCGCCTCCTCGTAGTCCTCGGGGCGATGGAGTCCCTCTGCGGAATGCTTCTGCTTCGGGGGCTTGGGCGTCCTCCCCACCGCCGCAAGGACCAAACTGGCTCTCTTGAGGGAACTTCTCCGGCCGCTTCCTTTCCGAAAAACTTTGGTCTCGGGGCGTCGCGACCCCCGCCCGCGGGCGTAGTCGTTCTCCCCTCTGTCGGCGCCCCTGGCGGTGGCTTCGGCCCGACATTCCTTTTCGGCTGCGGTGCCTTCGCCGCCGCCGCTCGCGGTGGGCGCCTCTGCGCACACGCCCACCAGCGACTTCCTCCTGGCGACGAGGTGGGCGCTCTTGCGGTGGGACTTGCGGCGGCGGCGGCGCCTCTTCACTCTCCTGCGCGGGGGAGTCTCTTGCGGCGGCGGCGGCGGCGGAACGCGGGTCGGGCGGGCGATCGTGCGCTGCCGGAAGTATTCGAGCATGGGATCCGGCCCTTGGCGCGGCCAGGGCGGCCTCGGGCGCTCGCCGCCAGGCCTCTGGAAGGCCTGGCTGGTGCTCGCCCTCAGATCGGCCAGGATGTCGCTCAACCTCAGCTCATCGCCACCGCCCACAGCAGCGACCACGAAGCGTGACCTCAGCGCCGCCCACGGCGTCCCTCGACGACGCTCGGAGCGCCGACAATGCCACCAGCAGAGGACGGCCATGACGGTCAGCGTTGCAACTGCTGCGCACACTATTATTATAATGCATTTAGTCTGGAAGCAAAGAATGAAATGAGAAGTATGTCCAAACGCTTGTAAATCTGAGGCAGCACTAGAAAATCCACAGTACGAAGCAAAGCCAGTCAGCCAGACTTACGGAAGGCTCAATCTGCATCTCGAATACTCCACCCGCGACGGACGTTG